GGAGCAGCCCGGAGGAGCCGGGAGGAGCCCACGGCGCTTAACGGCGCCCGGGCCGCACCAACTGTCAAGGCCAGGGAGAGGGTGCGACCGACGCGGGCTCGGCCCCGCCAGGAGCTCCGCCTCCGCGCCCCGCAAGCACCAGGCCTCCACGCCGGGGCCGGGCTCAACCCCTCACCGCGAGGCGCGGAGGCCTGGCCGGCTCTGCGGCCACCCGTGACTCCAGGCCTCGTCCAGCCTCCCCCGCGGCGCCAGCCCACTTGGTTCCGCCCGCCTCAGGCAGCGTTACCTAGGAGACGGGCCAGCCGCAGCCACGCCGAGGGCCACCGGGCCCACGCTTTCAGGAAATTCCAGCACCACGGACCAGGAGGTCCGGCGGCTGGTGCCCAGCGAAGCCGCAGGCCTCGCAAGTCCATGCACCGGCCGAGGGACGCGCCCGACCCCGCGGCCACCCGCAAGGAGCCCAAGTCTGCAACGCGCCGTGTACTCAGAACCCGCCTCGCGTCACTTTTGTCGTCAGGACCGCGGAGCCAATCAGAACCCAAATTACGCGCTCCGCTCTGCAGACACTAGCCAGTTAGCGTGGGGATGGGCCCGTCCTGATTTGCATGGACGACGATCCTCAGCAAATGGGAATGTGACTGGCGTGAACAACAACCAATGAGATTCTGTCAGGGGCGTGGCCTCGGGCGTCCCACGAGGTGAAGATGCTGCGGGCGGAACCTGCCGAAGCGAGCGGGATTCGGGGGAGCTAAAGTCGCAGGGGCAGGGCGGGAAGGAAGATCCGGAGCGGGGCACGGGATCTGGAGCTGGAGCCCCCAGGTGAGTGCAGGGGGAGACCCCGGCCGGCCGAGCTTTTCAAGGATTTGCGCCAGGAGGGTGGCGGCGAGCACCGTGGTCCCTCTCCATCTCCTCTTTCCCGGCCCTACGTCCCTGCCCCCGCGTCGTTCTCACCTCCTTTCCAGCCTCCTCACCTCCTTCCCCATCATCTCCCTTCCCCCATTCCATCCTCTCTGCTTCCCTGTCATCCGCCTGACCTTTCAGCTGGCATCCCCGACCCCAGCCCCAAACTTCATCCCTCTTCTGCAACCCGGTCTCAGCTCCTTCCCGTTCCGCAGCCTCACCTCCCGCTACGTTCCATCCTTCCTATCCCTTCTCTCGGCCTCTGCGCAGCCCCATGAGAGCCTTCCTAGTTCCGAACCTCCCCATCTCTATCCTTGTTGCTCTTCAGGGCAAATCCTTCGTCCTCGCTGCCTGCCACTGTCTCTCCTGTCCCTTGACCCCATCCCTTCACCTATTCTGCTCCCAGCCCATTCAATCTCTTCTCTCTCGGAAGCGCTCTCTCTCTCCACTTGCCCTGGTCCGCAGGACCTTGACACTCCCTTTCTGCACCAGTTCCTTTGGCTATGTGACTCTGCACTCCTCCACTTCATCCTTAGGTCCCTACTCTCATTAGCAGCTTTTTCCCCCTGTCCAGGCCCTTCCAGGAGAAGGCACCAAGCACTTTTCCATCTCCCTACCTGCTGCTGCCCCTGCAGGATGCAGAGCCTCCACTGCTGCACAGCTTCCTACTGCAGTATCAGCAGCCTGTGTACCTGCCCACCTGCCCACCCTCCCTTCTAGGCACCTCCTGCTCACTCCTCCTGGCATTTGTCTTGGGGGGGGCTGCTGCCAAAGGGCTACACTTTGCCTACAGCATCCTGGGGTGGCTCCAGGTGGGGAGTCCCCATGCACCCTTTCCTGTCTTCCTGGCCACCATCTCTCTCCCCACCCCACCCCCACTTTCCTGCTCAGGCTCACTTTGTGATTCAGCATTTTTGGGATTGGTAACTTTCTTTGCTTCCTGGAATGATGGGGACCTGGTTGAAGGCAGGTGGTCTGGACTCTGAGGTTTAACAGGGCCAACTTAGAAACCAGATTCAATCTGCCTGGTTGAGAGAGGGACTGGAGACGGGACCCACCAGCGGGGGTTACCTTTTCCTCCCCTTGCCTTTGTCTGCCCTGGGTGTTGAACTGGATCCAAGGGGAGATGACATAAGTAATAGCTCCTGGGGAAATGGGCTGTGAGCATTTATGGAAATTAATACATCCACATCCCAGGAGCAAGAACACCAAGTTCAGGCCACAGCTGTCCCACTGTCTGTCGCTTCAGGATTTCTTCCTTCTCTGCAACTTCTCCTCCCCCTCAAAAAATGCCAGCCCCCCTTCTAATGCCAAGAGCAGCTCCCACTCTGCTCATGAAGCTGCAGTCAGGCCCTGCTGTGCGGGCTTTAGGGAATTGTGTGTGGAGAGTCGCCTCTGTCCACCTGATTCGCACTTGGCAGACTTGTCTGCTGCAGAGCCCAGGCTCATGGGCAGCTCCTGAAATCATGGCCCTGCGCTTTCACAAAGTGGGCTCCTCGGAGTGCACCGACTCCCCAGGTCCTGTCCATCAGGCCCAAGGTGCAGCCTTGCCAAGGAACACTGTCCAGGTACATGCTGGCCCCGTGGCTCTGACAGGGCTTGCTCTGCTGCACATCCTTGCCTCAAAAGCAGCCTGGGGGAGACTTTCCTTATAAAACAGATACATCTTATTCTCTTTGCTACACCAGTCAACAAATAAATGCCTTATGGGCACTGATCAGGACCCAGGGACTGTGCCAAACAATGGGGTAGAGGAGTGTCGTGAAAAAGCCTGAAACCTTTTTCATATGTAAGTGTTCAAAACCCTTGCAGGTCTGAATATGGAGCCTAGACTGCAGGAAGCATGCACAGCACTGGCTGCCCACAGGAGATGGGCAGGTGGGACACAGGCATGGTGCTGGTGAGCAGGAGGGCAGAGAGCTCCGAGGGCTTGCCAGCTCAGGAGGGCTTCCATGCACTGGGCTGGCTCCTCTTTCTGTCCTTTCCTTTTGCAATCTTCTAAACCCAAGTGATTCAGGAGGAAATGAGTGGCAGAGTTTGATTGGCAGTTTCTAGTGAAGGTGTGGAGGGAGGGGCTCCTGGTGTTTGTTGGTGCTCTTCATGGCAACTGGGCAAACAGAGTCTGCGTCAAGGGAAGGAGTACTCCTAGAAGCTTGGGGACCATGTTTCCGTTTCTGGGGACCCTGGCCAGAAGCAGTGTATGTTTGATCGTTGGCTAAATTCTCAGTGATCTTTACATCACCAAAGGCCCCAAAGTAAAAGCTTTTTCCCACAATCCCCGGATAAGGAGGCAAAACAGCAGGCAGCACTGGGGAAGGGCTGACTCTGAAGGTGTCCAGGGCCAGAGACCCCACTCCTTCCTTCAACCCCTCTCCTAAGCAGCCAGGAGGTCCCCCCCTTAGGGGTGAAGACCCTAAAGCTGCAAGGGTCTTGGCCAACCAACAGCCAATCAGCTCTTGTCTCAGAGGAGTAAGTGGAAACCTAGAGAGCAGCTGCTTCCCCAAGGTCACACAGAGGCCACCGTGGAGTTGGGTTAAACTCTGTGCTTCCCACTTATTTAGGCCCAGTTCACCGCCATGGGTGCCCAAGCTGGAGGAAGCCAGCACCCCAAGAGATGATCAGCTGCCCTTTGGGAAGGCCTCTGTCAAGGTGTTGCTGACGCTCATGGAAAAGTCAGTGTCCCCTGGTGTGTCCATGTCCCTAGAGGGACTGTTAGGAGCAGGGGAGGTGCCACTCACCCCAGGGAGTTCTCGGGGACTCCAGTCCTGCTGACCTGGGAGGTCACCTCACAAGTACACTGTCTGTTGTTCATGACTGTCAAAGCGATGGCCATGTGGTTAGAGAGGAGGTGGGAAGCCAAGGCTGGAGGGGAGAGGGGACTCCCACAGTGGAATTGTACTTCCCCTCTGGGCCTGGTGTAACCCTGCCTAGGGCAACTGAGGCACCGGGTAGCCGCAGGCCACCTTGAACCTTTCCTTCCAGGCCAGGACTCTGTAGCAACGATCCCTCTGCCTTCCAGCACGTGTAGCAAATGGCAAAAATCCTCACCTCTGTGTGGGTGAGTCTCCCTGGGTGCTCAGGAGTCAGGATTCAGTCCCAGGCCTCAAGGGATATGGAAACTCCTTCCTCGTGGAATGGAAGGTTCAGAAATGTTCTCCCCTCAGTGACCCGCCACGCTCCTCTGCCCATCTTCAGAGTGCATCTGTTAAGAGATGGGTCCTTGGTGCCACTGAGAGAGGCTCTCTGACTCAGCGAGTGCCGAGGAGGAAAAGAGGAGACACCCTTGAAGGGGACATCACACCCTGGTCTTCCTCCGGCCACTCTGTGTTGGCTTGAGGCTTTCCATCTGGTGGACCTGAGCCACTGCAGGTCTTCACACCCTTCACTGTATCTTGGGAAGCTCAGACAAGTGGCACTTCCGTTCCTCTTCCCACACAGCACGGGAAGAGCTCTGAGCCAGCCCAGCCTGGGTCCTGCCGCCAGCATTCACCTGGTTCCTAACCCCCATCCCACCCTGCTGGTCAGGGTCTCGGGAGCGGCCTCTGCCAATGACCCTGTGGTCAGCCCCAAGGCCTGGGGATGCAAAATGTGTGGTTGGGTGTGTCACGTGTCCCGGAGCCAGCCCCTGTCCCTGTCTCACCTGCTTCTCTGGCACTTGCCCTGGTGTGCTGCACACACCAGCACCTGCAGGTGGGCCGACTTGAGGCCATGCCATTTGCAGACCAAGTAGAATTGGGAAAAGGAGAAAATATGGAGAAAGGGTGGGGACCACCTCCTACACTTCCCACTTGATCTCCAGACCAGTTAAAAGGACCTTCCTCACTGATCTTGCCGAGTGGCTGAAATCCATCACCCACCTCAGCAGCTAAAAGCCAGGTGTCTCGGTCGATGTTCTGTGGCTATAACAAGACACCTGAGGCCAGGTGATTTTAAAAACTCACAGTTCTGGAGGCTAGGGAGGCCAAGAGCACAGTGCCAGCACCTGGCAAGGACCTTCCTGCTGCACTGCAACATGGTGACAGGCATCAGATGACAGCATGACAAGCCTATGGCAGCTTAGTCCTCTCTGCTTTATAACCCGCCAGCCCTGCCATGGGGCCCCCACCCTCACAACCCCATCTAATCCTAATTACCTCCCAAGGCCCCACCTGTAAAACCCATCAACATATGAATTGGGGAATTAAGTTTCCAGTGCATGAAACTTGGGGGACATATTGAAACCCTGGCACCAGGCTCAGGTTCCTTACCAGGTCCCTGCACCAGATTCAAGGCAAACCAGCAGGCCACCCATCACACGGGTGACCTCCCCACTAAGTGAGCCACTTCCTGGCTCCTGTACACTCAGGAGTCTTGTCCACGGGGCCCTCTGCCACCAGCCTTGGGCCTTTGTCTCAGGGGAGAGTTCGTCCTTGTTATCAGGGCAGACCCACCACTGTGCCCTCTCAGCCACTTGGTTTCCTTCTCCTGCCTCCCTTTATCTACATTGGAGGCCCCCAACACAGAGCAGGATGGTAAATGTCAGCTGCTCCACTTCCAGGAAGAGACTAAGCCCCAACCACAGCCCTACCTGGAGCCCAACCGAGCCCCAGGAAACCCAGAGC